GTGTGAGAGAGAGAGCAAAAGACACAAGAGAGAGAGAGAGAGAGAGAGAGAGAGAAAGAGAGAGAGGGAGGGAGAGAGAGAGAGAAGGAACATGATACAGGAGGACAGATTTATTATTGTGAGGTTTTTGTCTATGTATGAGAAAAGGTCCTAGTCTGACCCAATACTCAAAGAGTCAAACAAAAATATCCATAATATTGTTTAACTGTGTGACGATATGTAGGGGGCAAAGATACAACCACACAAGAGTGTCAAAGACAACAACAAAAGAGACTGATAAACATATTACAGACGACGACGACAGCAAGTCAAGACGATGATAATCAATACTGAACTCACGACGACGGTGAAAAGCCAGTCTAAAACTGAGGTCAGAGACTGATAATGACAATACTGAGAACGAAAAGTTTGAAAACTAAAGATGAAGATGACGACAAAAACGTTGGTATTGAAAAATGTTGAGTAGAAAATAAAGACTGTAAAAAGAAGCATAATTGACGACAGGTACACTTCAAGTAGACACACCAAAGACTGAAGTGACAACTATGCCAACCGCAATAATTCCAAAGACTACATTTTGCCGCTGCCGAAACTTACCACCGCAGATGCCAGCCTCGTCGCCCCGGATAGGTTCTCCAGGAATCGGCTGAATGAAACAATGTAAATTCCGGTCACATTTCCCCAGGATACCGAAAGGTCCGCCGCAACTCTCATTCTGCACATGCGCACACACGTGACAGCAGTGACAGATGTCCAGCACCAGGCCTCCAGGACAGTCCGTCGTGTTGGGACAAAGTTCAAGGTCACAGGCAGCGCAGGAGAGAGCGCCTACGCCGGCTCCTGTACCGCCAAAGAGAGGGTCAGAGGCCATGAGCAGGGAGGCCAGGACCAGAGCGAGGGTGGCGGCTCTCTGCACTGTGGACATGCCCAAGCCGCCGCCTCTGCTGTTGCTGCTGTTGCTGCTGTTGCTGCTGTTGCTGCTGTTGCTGCAGCAACTTCTGTCACTTTTGCTGAGGCTGCAGTGGCTGCTGCTGCTGTTGTTGTTGTGGCAGCAGTGACTGTTGTGGTGGAGGGGCAACAGGTGGTCAGGGGCATGGCTTTGCTGGGAAGAGAGTGGCAGCGCCACCCGGCTTATAGACAGCCGCATTCCGGAGCCGTCATTGGACCTCGAGTCCCTGTGGTTCTATCAGCGATGTCGAGCCTTGCTCCTCCTTAACAACCACAGGGGATTTCTTTTTCGGGGGACTAAGGCACAGCTTCTATCACTGCCTCTGTCGAGTATGTATAATATATCCACAGCGTAGTCAAGTATCTTCAGCGTTGTTAGGTACCTACAGGTTAATTTTACAGTTAACGTTGCCTTCTGACAACTCCCGTGAACAGAAGAAGGCTGTATTATAATCCCTTCCTTCCCGACACCGATTCTGTGTTCAAGACGGTCTCAGTTTCTCTCCGGACTTGGGGAGATCGCAATAGGAAAATCCACACGCCCTCCCGGCGTCAGTGTTGCGTCTAGCTCTGTGTACCTCTGTCCACCCACTCTGCAGCGCTGCTGTCGTGGGAGTGTTGCGCCGTGATGGTCGTCGCTAGGACGGATCAGAGCAGCGTGTTTGCCGACGAGCGGATCTCTGTTTGTTGTGACTGCTCCAGGAGAAGGACGAGGAGATGCGAAACGAAAACAGAAGGAAAAAAGTCCTGACGCTCCACGCCGCACGTGACGTCACGATACCAATACCCCAGGTCTCCCAAAGCGAGCCCTAGGTATAAAGGACCAAAGTTCTGGACTCCGAGGTTGTAGTATAGAGGGACCTTGTTACACCTGCCCGTCACGTAGAGAGATAGGACAGCCCTGAAGGCAGAACACTTTTCCTCTCTCTACTTGTTTGCTTCCTTCTTCTTTGCTTTCTTGGAACCTGTCAAAATACAATAGGAAGCAGATAAAGGGTTAATGGTCTACTTGAAAGTTACAGTGTGTCGTTGATAAGTGCGTTATAGGTCATTTGAAGGTCATCTCACGCTAAAAGGCATGTCAGGTCAGTCTTTCCCACCCAGCGATTTGAAGATGAATTAAGATAGTCATTAAAAAAAATTACCTGATGACTTGAAACGCAGATGTTTAAATCAAGCCCACGATTTGTAAGAGCAAGAAGCTACAGTATACTGTTCACATTTTATCGTATAAACAATGTTTTAAAACATGACGCCCTTCAGAACATTATGCTGGTCATTTATTTGGAACACGATATTGTCCTTAGTCTGGGTACAAACTTGTGAGTTTGAATCCCGGCTCAGTAGTGCAGAGCATTGTAATGTATTCTGAGGATCCATTGTATTATATTTAAGCATTTAAAAAATCACCCAGCTGCAAACACTTTATTGGTAACCAGAAGGCACACTGTGTTGTATGATAGCGGTATGCGCACAACAGACTGCAACGCTGTATGGCCTCACAATTTATTGCGAAGTTGCGTGAGCGTGAAATAAATTTATGATGTAAAAGATAGAAATAGATACAGGCTATCTTTTCAAGAATTTTCTCATACATTTGCACACGGGCAACGAACGGACTTTACCGCACGCAGCGAAACGACAACTCCCCTAAACAAAAACCTCTTGACTCGTCGAGACAAAGCCGAATATTCAACTTTTTGTGTCAGCTTTTATGTTAGATACATGAAACATTGCAGCCAGATACAAGACATGAATATTTACACTCGCAGTTTTGGATCCTTCTCAAACAGAAGGAACATTAAAAGACATGCATTGTTAGCATACTATCGCAGTAAGACGCCACTGGAGAGTGGGGGGGTG